AATCACCACTTGCCTTCCTATGTATCATATCATATACCTGGAAATCATTAAGTAAGTAGACTTTTTTCATTAATGAGAAAACCACAATTATTTAAACTTTCCCCAAACATTTTAATTAACCTTTATAGATCTTTTTTTTTGAGATATCCATCTATTTTAAACGTACCATTGAAATACTGAGAATTTAACATGAAATTCACACTCAAGATTTAAGTGATTTCACTACTTGTTCAAACACTAAATGTTACTGAAATAAAGAGCAATACTATTATCTAGAAGTCAATTGTTTAAAACCATGTTCTAGTTTTAGGGGTAATAGATCTTGGATAATTTACATTCTAGAGGACAAACAGACAACAAACCAGTAATCAAATAAAGTAACTGAAGTTAAATGCTACAAGAAAAACAAAAAACAACTCCCCCCAAAAACAACAACAAAAAACTCAACAGTACAGATAGGAAGGCCATTAATGAGAAGGCAGCACTTGGTTTAAAACCTTTATGAAAGAATAGCCCTGTGAAGATAAATGTCCCAGGCAATCTTTAACTAAAGAAGGTTTAATGAGTTATTCTGCTATATATTTATATGCAACCCTCTGAATTACATAACCTTATACTGCACCCTACTGAATCTTCTTAGTCTTATTTTAAGGACTAATTCTTTAAAAACAAAATTTCATTACCTCCTTTGTTGTATCCTTAAGTTTAAAAAGCATGCTTTCTAATTTAAAAAGCGTTTCCTAGTAATATTAGTTAATATCTAGCTGTGGTACTTCTGTCAAATAAAAACAATGGCTAACAGAGTTATAATTGCAAAAAAAAATATTATCCTGCTGAATGTTCTCGGACACAATTGTTTCTAGGATACTTCATGGGCCAAACAGGCTGGAAAGAAATTGCCCCAGTGCGAACCACTCAGAAGAGAGGCCAAGGGCAGGAAGCAGCACTAATGGGTCAGTGGAACACTGTACAGTGAAACCGCTCAGTAGAGAAGACAATACAGGTCATGCCTGGGGGAGGGGGGGGCGGGAGGAGAAGAGGGATGAAGCAAATCAACTGGCATGGTTGGGAAACCTACCCCAGAACAGTAGTAGCTCTTTGAGACATGCTGTTACCACCTAAGCAATAGGTTAATTTTGAAGTACAGAGGCATTTTAGCTATCAATTAACAATTATAAAATAAAAAACCATATTTTATAATAAGCATTTTTGTCAAGGTTTTGACTAGCACAAATGAGAAGAGATTTTTGTCAAGATGTATTTGTTTAGAATGCTGTTCTACTTTTAAGTCTGGTTATTTATCTGTAAAGTAGATGTAAAAACACAATCTTGAAGGGTGTTTAGTCTCAGGAACATTGATAATGAGAGGCAGCTAGCTCAGCACCTGGAATAAAGAAAGCACTCAATAAACTGCTTTAACAAATTCTTCTTCAGTATGTTCTTTCAAACATACTAAAGCCAGATTCTTTTTTATTTTTATTGGCTATTCTAGGATTTGAACTCAGGGTGTCTCATTTGCAATGCTACCACTTAAACACACCTGCAGCCAAGAAATCAGATTTCTTAAAGGCATATAATTTTAAGAAATGTTTCAGTGGAAGAAAAGAATCCTCATAAAATTTAGGGAGAAACCAAGTCCATGAAAAGTACACATATATGTGTGTGTGTGTGTGTGTGTATATATATATATATATATATATATATATAGTAAAGCTACTATAGGAAAATAAGCACATGTGCAAGTGAGCTTTCTGTGTTTCAATGACGAGGAAATAATTAGTCTTGTTTTGATGGTTCATGCCTTTAATACTACCTACTTGGAAGGCTGAAGTTAGGACTGAAGTTCCAGGCCCACCTGGGGAAAAATGTTCACAAGACTTTACCAGAAAAACTGGGGTGTAAAAAGAAAAAGTGGGGTGTGGTGGTTCAAGCTTGTCATCCCAGCTAAGATGGGGTGTGTAAACAGGAGGATTGCAGCCCAGGCCAGACAGGATAACAAAGGGAGATCCTATCTTAAAATAACCAGAACAAAAAAGGGATAGAGGTATAGCTTAAGCAGCAGAGCACCTCCTAGCAAACGTGAAACGCTAAATTAAAACCCTCATACTGTCAAAAGGGGGAGGAGAAGAGAGAATAATTATCCTATTATAATAGAATCATATGCAGGCTTCCTGGTTTACAATTATTTTGGGAAGGGGACTTTAAAATGCTATTTATATGTAATACTGGAAATGCCTCATAAAAAAAACTGGTTTACCTTCTAAGGAGAAAAAAAAAGCACCACAAAAACTTTAGATTTTTAAGACTCCATTTATAAAACATAATTGTATGAAGTACATTAATGCAGATCCAACTGGTGATATGGATTACATGGAATTTATCAAAAAGCAGATCTACTCAATGGTGTACGATTTAATTTGATTAAAACTATATTAATAAGTCAATGGTGTAAGATTTAGTTAATTTGATTAAAACTATATTAATAAGTCTTTGTTGTTGTTTTTAATGTGCTATGTGATTTTTTTGTTTCCTTTGTATGTTCTTCCCCCTATGGTATATCCCGTTGTTACTGAACTTGATTTTGGTACCCTGTATCTTGTATATACATTTGTCTAATTTGGGGATGGGAAAGGGGAATAACAAAATGCTGAAACAAGGAAACAGGATGACCTATTGCAACAATGATATCTCTAGACAGTGTATTGGAAATGAACTTTACAACTTGGGAGGGGGGTGAGGGAAGTGGGGGAGGGAAGGGATAGTGGGAGAACAAGAGGTAACAATGCTCGACAAGAAATGTACTCATTACCTTACTCATGTTAACTGTAACCCCTCTGAACAGCATCTTTACAATAAAAAAAATATAAAAGAATGGTATTCTAAAAGACATATAGTGTTAAGAATCTTTTCAAATAGATGCTTTTAGAAAACCAACAATGATATTTTTAGTAAATATTTAAAAATACTTATTAAACGTCTATTATTAAATATGTTTATGAAGCTTAAGTCAGAAAAAAATGGTCAAGTACAGACCAATTTACAGATTTTAAAGCTGGAAGGGTGTCAGAGATTATCTTTACTTTATCTTACTTTCTACATTTAGAAGAGGGAACAGACTCAGAGATCAGTACTGAGCCCAAGCTAAGTCTCCTCAAACTATGTTAAGTAGTTCACAGTATGGGAGCCCAATCTCACCATCACAGAATGAGGTCCACTGTGGCAAACCCCTATGCGCTCCTGCCTGGTAAACTAGAACCCAATTCAGTAAAGTTAGGTTGTAAGATCATAACCAAAGAGCTAGAGGCTTCTTGGGTATAGTCCTTTTTCTCCTCCAGACACCATTTACCTGTAATCATGGGTAGCAGAACCACTTACTGGGAGGCAATACTGAGAAAACTGTCTACCCACGATTAAAATTAAACATCCACATATTAGCCTCTGTGATGAAAAGACTGAAATAATAAATCCTCTCCTTCATTTGGATTCAATACTTGGGTAAATTTTAAGAAATCAGGGTTTAGTAAAAATTTCAGTGACACAATGCAGCTGAATTTGCTTGTTCTGGCTACCTCAGGTACATACTAGACCAAAATCATCATCCAGGCTTTCAAACAAAGATGAGTAAGAAAACAAGTGCTGGTAATATAACATACAAACATTAACAAACACCAACAGAGCAGTACTTTATTTAGATCGTTAGATTATCTGCCAAAAGCCTGTTCCTTGGTAAATAATAGTTACTGTTGTTATATCTAAACTAGTTAGACATGTCTCAGCTTGCTCCTTAAGGAGAACATTCTACAGTCTCTCAAGAATAAAAACTTGCTTTATTTGGCACACAACGGTTAGGAGCTCTTGCAACATGAGCCAGAGGTAGTCAAACAGAGAGAAGTCAGCACAGGCAATCGCGCGCACACACACACAAGTGTGAGCCCCAAACCAGAGCTAATCTTTCAGTTCCTGTGGATCAGAAGGCATTATTGATTCACTTTCTGCTTGCTGACTTTTGCATCTCTTCTTAGGTGTATTCCAAGCACACGAACCTCTGTGGGAACTGTGTGCCATGGCCGTTTATTTAAGTTTGCACGGAGCAAATACCATCAAGACAAACCATAGTAACAAGCCTCGTTCCCACAGCCTGGCGCACGGAGGCCGTGCCCAGCCCGGCTGCGCCGGGGCCTCGGGTGAGAAGGGATCCGGGGGGTCCCCGCCTTGGGCAGCTAACGGGGAACCTTCTTCCCGCCGCTCCCCGGCCCTCGCTTCCCGCGGCCCCGAGCACCCCACAGCGGGCCGCCGCAGCGGAGGCCGCCCCACGCCCCGCCACCCATGCTTTCGGTCCGAGACGGCGGGCTGGGCCGGGCAGCGTACCCCGCCGCCCGCGGCCTCACCTGCGCCCCCCCGGAGCCCTCCGCTCCGCCCCGCGCCCGCCACTCTCGCAGCTGGAGTCCCGGGACCTACGACTGAGGCGCAGCCGGAAGTGGGTTCTCCGACTTCCTCACAGCCCACGCGATTGCCCGCCCCGTCCCGAGCCTGCCGGTGGGCGGGCCACAGAAGGAGGCGGGGCCTGGTGGCGGGCGGGGCCTGGTGGCGGGCGGGGCGGAGAGTGCAGCTTCCGCCTGGCTGCTTCCGGCCTAGTGGTGAGTTGGGAGTGGGAGTCCCGGCCCCTGGTCTCGGGAATGAGTCGAGGGTTGGGGGCGGTTGCGATCGCGGGGTCCCCGTGCCCAGCACTGACGGCCGGGGAGCGGGCTGCGAGGTGTGTTGGGGCTGGCCCGGGTTTCCCGGGGCTCTCGGCTCTGTGAGCCCTGTCCAGCCCCAGCCCGCGGCAGGGCGAGGGCCTGCGCCTCCTCCGCCGGGGCGCGGGGCGCTCGTCCGGGAGGAGGAAG